GATCTTAAGCTCCTAGTTGGTTCATAAGGAGAGATATGTTCGGACAGGTAAGCTGGGCCGGAAATGTTTAGGGCTTTAAAAGTTAAAGGCAGCACTTTGAATTGTGCCCGGTAGCAAACTGGCAGCCAGCGGAGTTGGTGCAACAGAGGAGTTGTGTGCTCCCTGAGTGTCGCTCCCGTTAGTAATTTTCCATCCAACCCCCTTCTCATAGGTCTCTCAACTTCTTTCTGTGTACCTTCAATCATTTCTGACTTATGACGGCCCTAATGTGAACTTGTGACCGAGTTTTCTTGGCAAGATTTGAGTAGAAATGCTTTGGAATTCTCTCTCTCTAAGGCTAAGAGAGAAGTTTCCATAATGGAGAGAAGATTGTCTCCAGAGATATACGGCTTCATCACATACAAGCTCTCTCCCTCCCCCCCCCCCCGACTTTCCACACACTTCCAAACCAGTTAATAGACAAAGTACCACGGAGCCCATCATATGATGAAGACAGATTTCTGGCTGTCATCCATGGTGTTTCCTCAGTGAACTCTGTCAGAAGTGTAGAGAAACAAGGAAACTGAAGCCAAGAAGAAATAATCTTTTGAGGTCCTGATGCACCTGGATATGGGAGGAAGCTCTTAAAAACACATGGGATAGGATCTGTCAGATATGCTCATCTTGAATGATTTCAGTGAAGTGGAGAAATGGGCTTTCTTATGAACAGTGCCTTGAGTCTCCTCTAGAAAAACGGGATTGAGGGGAAAAGTCAAGTATCTCACAAGTAGTGTGTGTCTTAAGAACGGTGCCTTGGGTCTCTTCTAGAGGAATGGGATTGAGCGGGAAAGTAAAGTACAGTATCTCAGAAGTGGCATCTGTCTTGAGCATGGTGCTTTAGGTCTCTTCTAAGCAAATGGTTGAGGTGGGAAGAGGTGTGATGGGGTAAGTAAATTCTCCATCTTCTTTAGAGGCAGACTCCCAAGCAAAGATTCTACTTGCAAGAAGACAATTTCCCCTGCTTTCCGCAGTTTTGTCTGATGAAGTCTTTAGTCCAACACTCAAACCACTGCACCACGCTGGCTCTTTACTCTTCCAACAGTGCCTCCAAATATCTCTATCTTCTAGGTATGGATAGTGTCGCTCGGATAACTCGTAACTCATAATAATTTCATTAAAATTACCTTTTTGAAGCAATATTGAAGCTTTTTTAAAATCCGGAAGTCCTTTTGCCCTTCCGAAGCTTTGCCCCCCATTTTTGTTACAACTCAAGAAGTGAGTCGGAAATGATTCAGCTTTCCCCCACTTCTGGTCCCTGGCCTCGGCTCAAGCCAGAGAAGCTAGTTTTAAACCAGAGAAGGAAGGAATTTCCTGGCCTCGGCTCAAGCCAGAGAAGGAAGGAATTTCCTGGCCTCAGCTCAAGCCAGTTTTAAACCAGAGAAGGAAGGAATTTCCTCCACTTGCTTTTCCCCGCTTCTGGAGTAAAACAACTACTTCCAAAGTAAAGATCATCCATGCTGGAAATAACACTTTCAAACCATTAATCAAAGAATTCGGAAGTCTTGGAAGTTTCAAAAAGTTTTGAAATTTTTTCAGTGAAAATTGGAATTGACTTTAGATTGAACCACCTGTGCCCCCTACATCCAAAACGAGTTTTTTTTTTTTTTGGATCAACCAAGCCTACTATCCTCATCATATACCTTTCCAAAATGGGAGCGGGAAGGATTCAGACTAAAACAGGTGTCTAAGGTGATCATGGGAGCTTTTTGTGGGTATTTTTTGAACATTTTAAGGTTTTTCCATATGATGTTTAGTGAACTACTGCAAATTGTGTCAATTTCTATAAAAAATGAAGGGCAAAGAGTTGTAGATTTTGTGGGCCATTTGGGATTCAGAGACTGTACTTGGGCTATGGACCATAGTGGCATGTATAATGTGATAGAAAGCCCTTAAAAAGTAATATTAAAAATATAAACATTCTATCGTGTATCAAAAATTTAAAAGATACATTACGTGAAATGTAAATTCATTAACCACTGTTACCTAAATCATGTCATAGTAGTTGTTGCTTGTTACTTGTAACCTCAAAACACTGAAGCCTATACACGTTAACTATCTCTATGCTCAGCAGAACTTGCTGTGAGGAAATAATGTGCACAGGTGCATTGTCGAAGATATTTTTAATAATGGTTTTAATAATGTTCGGGGTCTGTAACACTACTTTCCGATTTCATTGTGCATAAATTTTATCTCCCCCCCCCGGCTACATGCCTGCCCCCTACCATCATTTTCTCTTCTTTTCAGATGGACTCGATTTTTATGAATAAATAACCAAGGGAGAATTAATTTTTTTCATCTTGCAATATATTGTCTCATACTTTTGAATGAACAGTTCTGCCTAGGACAAATATGTATATGGGGAAAAGAATATTAACATGTCCTGATCTCATACAGAATACTTTGTAAGACATGTGATACACTTGGTTTCTTAAAACCACTACATCTTCCTTTATTGCTGTTACGGAGTCCTTTTCTAAAAATCAGATGGCAAGAAATCAGAGAATGATGTGTTATGTTGGGAATAACAACCTTATCAAGCCTCCACTAGCTATTTGTTATCTATATAATTCAAATTGCTTACTGTATTGTATATGTTTGTATTGGTATGCAATTTTACTTTAGCTCTTTGTTGTGAGAGGGGCTGTAGACTATGTGATCAAAACTGGGTTTGTTCAGGATTCAGACTCCATTTTAGAACAGAGTACAGTTTAGACTTTAGTAAAGAAGTATGCTTTACAGCAGAGGTCCACAAACTTTTTAAACAGAGGGCCAGATCATAGTCCCTCAAACTGTTGGAGGGCCGGATTATAATTTGAAAAAAAAAAAGAGAGAATGAATTCCTATGCACAGTGCACATATCATATTTGTAGGGCAAAAAACACTTTAGAACAATACAATAATTAAAGTGAAGAAGTATTTTAATAAATATAAACTTATAAGTTTATATGTCTGGGCCTGCTTTTGGCTGATGAGATAGGATTGTTATTGTTGTTGTGTGCTTTCAAGTCATTTCAGACTTAGGTTGACCCTGAGCGAGGGCAGGGTAAATGACCTTGGAGGGCCGTATTCGGCCCCCGGGCCGTAGTTTGAGGACCCCTGCTTTACAGTATGCTGTACAGAAACCATTAGACTCCATTGGACTTTCAGACTAGACAGAGACTCTATTAGATTCATGGAACAGAGAGATGATTTGGACTATGGACTATTGGTTCTAAGAATGATGCCCTGTGGTACTTACACAGAGAAACTACTTCAAATCCTATTTGTAACTGGATTGATAAGCAAAGTACCTGTATGCTGAATACATGAAGTTTGTGAGCAAACCAACTATGTTACTTTTAAAGAAGTCCACTTATTTTTGTCTTTTGAGAGTATGATTTAAAGGCAAATATATTTTAAGGGATAGTAGATGTTTTTGGACAACTAAAAGGAACACTTCTGAAACTCTGCTGTGTGTGTGTGTGTGTATGAATGCTGGTGAATGCCATTTTCTCAAAAGGTTATGACTCTAATAGGTCATGCTGTTAACCGAGAGATTATGGCATCATTTTTCCAAAGGTTGTGACTTCTAACAAGGCCATCCCTTTCCAAAGATCAGAAAATCTCCAAAAGATTATGGAGATTTCCATTTTCCAAAATGTTAATCTTAAACATCAACTGGAATTATTTCCAAGTGTTACAAACTTGATTTATCTTTAGAGAATTTCCCAATTTGGGATGTGCAGGACAGATGAGTTTAGCATGCTTCTAATGTTAAAGAAAAGACCCATACCAAGGAAAAGGAAAGATATGCATTAAATAAAAACCCACGAAAACATACTTACATGCTAGATAAATAGATATTAGAGAATCTTTTGACAAATAAGTATGAATTTTGAAGCTTCTAATTAAATTCTAATGTTTAGTACCTTCAAAAGCATATGCTCACACATTTAGAAGTGATCTAATATTTTCAGTAACGGAAAATTGCACATATCTGGAAAAGTATTACAACCCCCCCTTTATATTCATAAAAGAGCGTGTGTGTGGGTATGTATATACCTATGTCTATGAACTCCCCAACCCAAATTAATACATAATAAACAGTGCTGATATTCCCAATAGTACTACAATTTCCCAGTTCTGGAATACAGTATGTTATGGCAGGGGGAGGTGGGAGGTTTTGAAGTATTCTTTGTAGACATGTGGTTACATTTTTATGTATTTTATTATACAAAATGGAGAGATAAAATTTATGTATAAAATTTAACCTCCTCTTTGCCTTGAATTCATTTAGCTCTATCATGCATTTTCAAGAATTTCTTGTCCTCTGTCCATTGTGATGACTTTGACGATCTGTGTGTAAGGAAGAATGGGCTTTTTAAAGCCAGAAACCTTAAAGAAGTAAATCCTATTTTCCTCTTTCAGGCACAAATAGTGGCTCCAGAGGGAGTACAGAGTTCTGTTTAACTGTGTTAATTTTTAATGGGGGAATTTCTCCCATGAACACAATGAAATAAAAACGGTGTTCGTCAGGAACGTTTCTTACCCGATTCAATAATTCCCCTCCTGCAGTTTTCCTCCCATAATGTGGGATCTCCATAAACAATTTGCAACCCTACACTTTTCCAGCTTTTACAGGTGAGATAAATTTCGATGATGCAGTCAAGGACCATCAACCGCAGATACAAATGACTAATCCCTGGAATGCTGATTGGACGACTCATTAGTAAGTCACTCCATAATAAGACGGCAAGTGATGGGCCATGCGGTCCATAGGATATTGCGTACCACTTAATGTGTTTTCACCTAGGCTTGGATATGGCTTCTTTAATCAGGCAATCAAGTTTCTTTTAACTTGGGGCGCGTGTACCTGTACATCTGGAAACTCCGATTTTCATACTCAGAGAGCTGTGCTTGCTGTTGCCCCTTTGCTTTCAGCAGGGCTTGTTCTGGCTTAGCGTTGGGAGGATTATACTGTCTGGGAGGTTTGCCAGATTAATTTGGCCGGCTGCCTGTTGTTCAATCTGGAGCTACTGAAGCCCTCGGTTTCTCTGGGACCCTGCTGCCAGATATTCCATATGGGATGCCCAGAAATATAGCCTAACATTAGGGAGATTTAGTTCTCCCAAGTCTCGGCGGGCCTATACATTTTTAATGACAATTCTTGTTTTTTGCCTACCAAATGAACCTTGAAAAGGTCTTGTGGAGCTTATTAAAGTGAGAGGTTTTAAATTCTCCCAAACAGTTGTAGTTGATATAAGAGACTAGGGAGGATATTTATTTTAGGAAGCAATATTCTTTCCACAACTGCAACAGAGATCCATCCACTTGGCCAGATGATCCTTAATGTTTGGTGGCATCAGGTTTGTGTTCAGTTCTTGAATGGGCTCATTAACGTCTTAAACTCCAAATAAGGATGTGTAATGGCTTAAGTAGCCTGGTCAGAGATGTCCTAAAAACAGTGGAGTGAAATAGCATTATATTCAGTCCTCCATATTCACTCTGGTTAGGGGTACAGGACCACCACAAAATCAAAAAGCAGTGAATTAAAAATGGTAGCTTTTAACACAAGATAATATCTTTCTTAGAAATCTGTGGGTCCTCCAACACATCTTTATAGTCAACTTCACCTGGAAATTGACCACAGAATCACCCAGAGGGCCTACAGATTCCTAGAGATAATAATAATAATAATAATAATAATAATAATAATAATAATAATAACTTTTATTTGTATCCCGCTACCATCTCCCCAAGGGACTCGGTGCGGCTTACATGAGGCCAAGCCCACAGCACACCAATAAACAAGGTGATAACAAATAATCAATACATAACAGTTAAAATAAAATAATAAGGGACCTTATCACATTAAGAAATACTCTGTTTCTGAGACTGTTTGAGAATAGTTTTGAACGGGTCCCATCACATGACCTTTGCCCCATACCGTTAATATTCAATTGGAACCCATCTGCAAAGTGTTGCAGAAATGGATTATTTGCAGATGGGATTAAAATTGTCGGACTGGATGAGGGCTAACAAATTGAAACTGAATCCAGACAAGACAGAGGTCCTCCTGGTCAGTTGAAAGGCCGAACAGGGCATGGGATTACAGCCTGTGTTGGATGGAGTTACACTCCTCCTGAAGACGTAGGTTCGCAGCTTGGGAGTGATCCTGGATTAATTGCTGAGCCTGGAACCCCGGGTTTCAGTGGTGACCAGGGGAGCTTTTGCACAGTTAAAACTTGTGTGCCAGATGCACACGTACGTTGGGAAGTCTGATCTGGCTATGGTCGTACATGTTCTGGTTACATCCTGAATAGATTACTGCAATGCGCTCTCTGTGGGGCTGCCTTTCAAGACAGTTTGGAAACTTCAGATAGTCCAGCAGGCGGCAACCAGATTACTAAGTGGAGTGACATACAGGGAACATACCACCCCCCTCTTATGTCCGCTCCACTGGCCGCCGGTCCACTTCTGAGCTCAGTTCAAAGTGCTGGTTTTGACCTATAAGGCTCTATACTGTTCTGGCCCAGCTCACCTGTCCAAAGACATCTGCCTCTATGTCCCACCTCTTAATTTATGATAATCCATGGAGGCCCTGTTCTTGCTCCCGCCTACATCGCAAAAACTGGTTTGGCTGGGATGAGAGACAGAGCCTTCTTGGTGGTGGCTCCCTGCCTGTGGAACATGCTTCCAAAGGAGATAAGAACAGACTCACCGCTCCTGTATTTCAGGAAGAAAGTGAAATTTTGGTTGTGGGACCAGGCTTTGGGACAGCAGACTTAATTAGCACTTTGGTTGGAAATTGACTGGAATGACAATATAGCTGATGATATTGTAATATTATTTTAATGGTTTATGTACTATTTTAATTAATGCTTTGTGTATTTTAATTATGTTGTATTATTTTAATTGTTTATATGAAGCGGCATCGAATTGTTGCCTAATGTAATCCGTCCTAAGTCCCCCTTCGGGGTTAGAGAAGAGATGGGGTAGAAATACCGGAAATAAATAATAATAAATAACTGGGCCGGGGCCATTTACGGCTTTATAGGCCAAAGCCAACACTTTGAATTATGCCAATGCATTAAAACAGCAGAGCTTTAGAAGTGTTTTTCAGTTACCCCAAAATGTATATGTTGTTGTTCATTCGTTCAGTCGTCTCCGACTCTTCGTGA